ACAGAACATGTGTAAAGACTGCTCCGCACAATCATGAACTTGCAGCCTGAACATGCATGCGAACTGGTGGCTTCACTGGACTAGAAAAATTCTTGATATCACTGCTACTGAGACCACTTCGGTTGATCACGCTGTCCCTTCTTTTTCTGCTCTTCCCGAGCAGGCTGTCTCGTGCGAAGTGAGAGCCAGCCAAAAGGTGGGAACTTGACAAACTTCTGTTCAGCAGCACGGTCTTTGCGAACGCCCATACTCAAAACTTGGACGACCGCCGGCACAATCCGGCACAACCGATCTACGGCGTCCGGTGACGCTTGAACGATGTCGGCTCAAGGGGTGGCCTGATCCGGCTCGGCCTCGATGACCTCGCGGACCACGACCGGGTCCTGTCATCTCTGCGAACAGCTGCAGCGTGAGCTTTGCTGTCGACCGCGAGAAAGCCGGTCTTCACGAGCTGTGTCCCGAGCCGGATCCGAGGTATGACCTCGGGTGTCCTCCGGCCTGGTCGTGCTGGTCAACAGTTGGTTCGACCGCGGAGGCGAACGCCCGGTCCTGGATGTCGTCCTGAGCTCGGCGACGAACGGCCACCTCTCCAGAGCTCGCCGGTACGAACTGTTGCTGGATGCACGGACGCCTCTCAAGATCCAATGGAACAAGATCTCGTTCCCATTGTAGATCTTCACGTCCGTGTAGGACAGCGAGGTGTCGTTCAGGACCGGCCACGGCTGAAAAGCCACGTGGCTGATTTGCCGTCTCCGATCCCATCCACCACATGGCGTCTGTGAATCGACCGATTTCGCCAGGGTCGCCTTGATCCCATGGAGACAGGGGAGGGCGGGGGGAAACTTGACTGAGGCGGCATCACGAGCTCGGGGTGTTCGTCGTGATCTCCCTCACCAACCATGCCTCAAAGGTGAAACGATCCGCTCCTCTCGGGTATCCACCAATGTCTCTCGATCGTTGTCCTCACACTCGGCGATCGACTCCAAGAAATGAGGAAGGCGAACTTCGCAAGGGTTGTGAGCGGCCTTTGGGAACTGGCTACCACCCCACGGCGACGATCGTCATAGCGACGGCGACTGCCACCGTATCCACCGCCGTATCCTCCACCCTGCTGGCCGCGATCACGGCGATGACCTTGGCCGTGGTTGTCGGTGCCCTGAGCTTGGGCATCCCATCCTTGCTGGCCCCAACCAGTCATCGCTCAGATCCCAGGCCCTAGAGCTCTCCTGTGTCGCGCAAAACAGATCCGTCGTGGACCTACAAGGCGGCGATCGCCTCGACCCAAAATGGCCATGGTCTTGAACAAGCAGCTAATCACATGCAGCCTCCTATCCCAGACCTACCTGACCGTTGATAGGAGAACACGTTGCATTTGACACACAAAGCTGCCTTTTTCCTTGGTGGCCACGGGGCCTAGACAGGGAAGCGAGCCTACCTGGGAAGCCCTGGGCTAGAGCGTACAAAGTTGCCTAACTATAACCCCTCTGCAGGAATTCTTCAGGGCAGCTCGGAGTTGTAAAAGAGGATGGACGAAGCAGGCTTGGCAATTTTCGAGTCTGCAAGCGATCTAATTGAGCTTTGATTCGACCTCTGCTAAAGGCTTGGAAAAGCCACTGAAAGGCCTCCTGGATGCGAGCACGCAAGGAGGCCAGCGCAGCATCCTGCTACCCGTATTCGAAAGGACTTCTGTTTGCCAACGTGCTGCCGCTGACTGGAACTCCAATTTGCCAATGCTACACCCTCCACTTTTGATCGTGAGAGTCCTTTGTCGAGCGGTTGGCTCCATCCTGAACGCGTGCATTTGGTGATCTACGGGAAGGTAACAGATTCGGAACATGCTCGACAAAGCAATGCCACCGCCAGCACGACCCAGACTCCGACCTCGACTGCGACGACAACGCCGGCGATGATGCGCGATGCCGCCCGTTCAAAATGATAAGCGATAACGGTGAGGACGATGATTTGGACGATGGTGGTGAATTTGATGATGACATGGCTGCTGCAGCAGCGGCGGCAGCAGCAGCAGCAGCAGCAGCGGCGGCGGCAGCGACGGCAGCGGTAACAACCGCAACCATAGCAGCAACAACATCATCATCAGCAGCAGCAGCAACAGCATCGCAATCATCTGCAGCATCATCATCGTCGTCATCATCATCATCATCATCAGCAGCATCGCCATCATCTTCATCATATTATTAATATTACTATTATTATTAAAATTATTATGCTTATTATCAGTAGTATCATTATTATTAGTCTTATTATTATTAGTATTATTAGTATTATTAGTAATATGAGTATTATGAGTATTATTCGTATTATTGGTATTATGAGTATTATGAGTATTATTAGTATTATTGGTATTATTAGTATTATTAGCAATATTAATATTGTTAGTATTATTAGTATTAGCATTATTAGTATTATTAGTATTATTAGTATTATTAGTATTATTAGTATTATTAGTATTATTAATATTATTAGTATTATTAGTATTATTAGTATTATTAGTATGATTAATAGTATTAGTAGTATTTGTCTTGTTAGTACTATTAGTATTATTATTAGTATTATTAGTATAATTAGTATTGTTAGTATTATTAGTATTATTAGTGTTATTAGTGTTATTAGTACTTATTATTGTTGTTATTATTACTAGTACTACTACTATGATGACTACGACGACTACTACTACTACTACTACTACTACTGCTACTCCTACTACTACTACTCCTGCTGCTGCTACTACTACTACTACTACTACTACTGGTATTATTATTATTATTTGTAGTAGTAGTAGTAGTAGTAGTAGTAGTTATTATTATTGGTGTATTAGTAGTATTATTATTGCGATCATTATTGTAATTATTGTTATTGTTATTATTATTGTTATTTTTTAATAATATTGCTAGCATTATTATAATATTTTATTGTTATTATTACTACTATTACTATTCGCCGGTGGTGATAATCACGGCAGCGGTCGTGGTGATGACGATGCTGACGGCACATGAACGATGATACATAGATGGATAGGATCGGCGGACTAACATGCGCCTGCATCGGCAATGCTGGGCTTGATGATAGGGATGACAGCTCTTCCTCCAAGTTCACCTGCAGATGTGGGAAGTCCAAGGCTCCACTGATGACAGATTCAGGGCCGTAAGCTAGGGAAGATCTAGGCTTTCTGATGTACAGTGGAGAGAAGCCCAGCATCCAAGTTGCACTACAAGCACAAGCAGGTCCTGAGACCTAGCCGACCGAGTCCAACGCTTCTCCACCAAACCCGTTTTGTACACTCAGCCCAGAAATACGCCTTGTTGCAGAAGGGTGAGAAGCCCCCGGAACTCCACCTGCAATTTACTCGACCAGTCGACGCTGCCGAGACAACGGGAACCACGGGGGCGGCGGCCCACTCTGGAGCCGGGGAGTTGGAGAACCCTAGAGCGAGACCTGAGGCGCGCCCACCCTCGCGTTCTTCCTTCGGGAGCGCGGATGCCAGGATCATCCAGGATCACTGACAGCTTCAGACAGCCCGAACACAGTCACTGAAGACGACTACCGCCTCCTGGGCAAAATCCCAAGGAAGAGCCGCTCCGCGGAGTCACGACGCCCCGACAGCCCCGACCGGGCACTGAACCGAGACCAGGCCGGCCCCTGGCAGGCCGTTACCGCGGGGTTCTCTCTAAGACCATTGATCGTCATGCGTCACTGGGCAATGGCAACAACCCGATAGCACGCTACGCGGTTCCCTCTCCACTTTGCCTTCTCACCTCAAAGATCGACACAGATTTGGTGCCTGGCAGTTCCTTGACACCTGACCTGCTCCAAGCGACTTCCCTGTGCAACGGATCCTAATCCTCGCCTCGAAAAGGACCGGATTCTCCACCAAAAGCCTTGGACGCAAAAATGCGCATGCTTACTACAGTAGCATCCTGCCCTGCACTGCCCGCAGCATCCCGCAGCAAAAGACCAAGCGGCTGCCGGGCCTTCTGCCCTGCTAGGCTGCGCACCTGCAGGCACTGCAGGCACTGACATGTCCGAGATTCAAAGCTCTGTGAAGAAGACTCTACGCATCGCTTACACTTACACACGACCCAGCAACACTGGCAAAGCAGAATCACTAGCAACAATGGCTACAGAAGAAACTACAGACCTTTGCTGGCCCTGGTCGCCACGGTGTCCCTTCTCCTTGACCTTGTCAGACTGTTCAGGCACGTGCAGAACAGCAGAACATCCACAGCATCCACAGAAGCTACTGTGGTCTGAGAGTACTGCCTGTACAGGCGGCTTGTGAGCTGCGTTGATGCCTGTTTAGCGTCCCGGCCCAGGCAGCCCAACTTGAACTCAATATTTCTCACGGGCTGTTTACGGCTCCTCCGCTCCGCGGCCTCAGCGGCCTCAAGTGTCTGGCCGTCACGAATGAGTCCTTGGTTCAAGACCCTGTGGCATGTGAAATTTCTCTAGCAGGGATTCAGACTCAAGGCCGCCGCATCCAATTGACCCCTGCAAAGTCTGGCAGAAAGGACAAGACTCTAGAAAAACAGTTCGGTGTTGTAAAGCTGCACTGGCGGTCACAGTGCCTGGCCAGGAGCCAAATGCTGATGATGGAGATGATGGAGTGCAACTGACACGGAGGAACGCACGTCGCCGGGGTTCGGCGAATGCATCTACGGATAAGGCCACCACAGCGACAGCCGCATGCTGACGTCGGCTGCTGCAAAAGTGCATGGCATCGCGCCAATCCGCGGCTCTTGATGCTTTGAACACCCTCGTTTGTCAAGTGACTCCTTATCTCGCGGGTATCTCGTGGTTGCATGTGCTTAGCACTACTACGTGTTCGAGTGTCCGTTCACACTGTAGGCCCAAGCTACGAAAACGAGCGCAAAGCCTGTACATTGCGTAAAGTCTATAGCCTGGGAACAACGAAGGCGGCTGGCACACCGTGCCAGCACTATCAGCAGGCACCAAAAACAAAATACGCTGGCAGATCCTGGTGCCTCTAGACCGCACCGGGTGAATCGGCAAAGGAGTCATGGCCTCAGCACAGAAAACCATCGAAACTACTGCACATAATCTTGGACAAGCTTGCTTGCCTTGCAACAGAAGGACTGATGGGGCGACAAATTTCTCGATCTTTGTTTGTCAGCTGTGTTGTTTCGGAAAGCTCTCTTGGCAGGATGTTGGTCTTGTGTGCGTCCCACTGCAGTGCCAGTTGCGACGATGTCGTCAGCCTCCAAAACCAGAAACATGTCACCAGGATTGCAGCCTTGACATGTCCGATCCGGTCTTGTCTGTTGGAAGAGAATCCGGATTGCATCCGGTTGGGGTAGTGCAGTCCCTCATCGATTAAGCATGGACGAGCTCGAGCACATGCATGCCTCAAGGCCAAGAAGATGGAAGCCAACAGTTTAATGAACCCGACAACCGGAGGCGAAGAGTCCCAGTAGATAAAAGCCTGGAGAGCCCGGAAGGGAAGCCGAAAACGTTCGCGAGATTAAACTTCGCAGTTTTTCTCGGGGCGGTTTGGTATGTTGTATCGGCTTTCCGTATGGCTGCTCCTTTCCCCACTGAAACTTTGGTATTTTGCAGAACGGCCTGTACATGGGAGAAACCTTGTTTAGAGCTCTAGCACCCTCCTCGACTTTGGTTCTCATGCCGATCCTTTCTCACTTCGGCCATTCACAATTTCGCCAGCAAGCCGTTCTTCTGAGACAGGCATGCAGACAAGCATCCGACAACACACGGTGCACAGACAGGCTCCCCAGTGCTACACGCCTACTACTACCCCATAGGTCTTTCATTGGCTTCGTTCTTATTACGAGGTCTTAGTTGTTTCCTTCGGCCCGTGCCGCTCTTTGCAGAGTACTACATGCACTAGACTTCCTGCACATACTATTCTGACATGTGGTGTGCGGCACATGCAACTGGAAGCTAGCGCTTTCAAAAAACGCTTAATTCACGAGGACGCACGGGTACCCAACCTCGCACAATCCATGCAAGATGTTGTCAGGCTTCACTGCCTGACTGCCGGCGGGCCTGCATGTCCTTTTGCTTGCTCGCTGGCTTCCTTGCTTGCGGTTTTGCTTGGTTGCTTTCTTGCTTGCTTGCTTGCTTGCTTGCTTGCTTGGAAATCCAGAAACGGATGAAAAACCCAAAGCCGCCCCGATAAACAAAGAAAACGAAAGTAATACAAACGCATAAGCCTTGAAGGCGTGAAGTCAAAAGGTCGAAAGCCGAACAGCCAAAGAAGCCAACCCGGCCATTACAACAAACAGAAAGGAAACAAGTGAATTGGAAAAACGAATCATTGAACATGCTCTGTGATAGCTAAGTGCCATGCAGCGGGCCACGATGTGGTCGACGACCCCGCCGAGGACGCAACAGTGAGTCCGTGACAGGTGCAGCCATGTTTAGAATGGGTTTGGCATGTGTATTGTGACGATGCGAAAAGCAACAAAACTCGCCTCATTCACTATGCCTTCCGGCACGCTTGAAGGTCGTAGTGGGCAAGGGAGGTGTAATATTCACGGTTCAAGATAATTTACTTTGAACACTGCTGGTTGCACGGGAACCAAACCATGTTCTTACAGTCCAAAGACTCAAAGACAGCGTTTTCGAGTCCAGTGTCCCTGGACTCTCGGATTCCGTGGCCAAAGTTCTTCGAATGCCCTCTTTGCAGTCGTGTCCGACATGACCGACTGCACTCAATTGTCAATGCTGGTCATTCAATGAGTACGAATGGAGGCTCTTCCGGCCATTGCATTCAACCTTTTTCCAAATCTGGTCAAGCGGTGTATGTTCTCGTCCTTCACCATATTGCTCCATTGCACGTTGTCGCACTTGAACGCTGCTAAACTTCATGCGATGCGTTTCTGCAGCAGAATCCAACGCGCTGTTCCTAAGACATGGGGTACTGGGCTACTCACAAATCCTTGAATATCTTTGTGAAGAAAAAACAGGATAAATTTAGGAATTCAGAATTATCAACAATAGAATTACAAGATATTGACTGCGGTGGGAAATCCTAGGTTCGGTGCAAAATCGAAAAAGCAACGAAATAGTTCATCTTCGACACAAACCTATGCTTTTGCCTGTCATGCTCCTATGTTCCCTTATCTTTTCTCTGAAATAAGGGAAATATAGGTTCCTCTACAACAGTTCCAACCACCCTTGCCTCAGACCTGTTCCCACCTCTTAACTCTATTTCCATCTGCATGCACACTTGCTGTGTTGTTTGGTCAAAGCTACTTCAAAAAGGAGGAGCTGAGCACTCCGAGGAGGAGCTCGTGACGATTCGCGCAGTTGGGTGAGAGTGGAGACTTGAGGGCGCCCGGCCAAGCCCTGTGTCTGACGCTGTGCAATCGGAAGTCTGACTTCCCTGTTTTTGGCGGTCAAGTCAAAGGCAAGGCGGGCGCAAATGTGAAGAGGCCCCTTGAGGTCCTGAGGTCCAGACTGGCGCAGTTCCTGTCACAGTCGAGTACATACTGGCACATACTGGCTACAGCATGTTACACGGCCGCTCTGATAGGTGGTAGGGTCTGATAGGGATGTCTGGGCTCAAGCGGTCAGGGGTCAGCCGCCCACACGAAAACAAATCATTGATTGCATGAGAAGAGCCCTGATAGAACGGCAGTGCTGGACTTCCCGGAAGTTACTTGGCAATCGGTAGCACTTGTTGTTCGAAGCACGAGAAAGGATAAACTTCTCTGTGCTGGTTGCTGGCCGGCTGACTGCACACCGTACACGCATTCCGGACTCGGGTCATGTTGTTGGATGTTTTTGTTCAGAGTGTGCTGCTCCATGCACCTTCGCACTTGTTCGACACCCGGAGAGCCTCAGCTTGAGAAAGAATGCAACTCTTCAATCCAGTCCTGGCCGCGCAGGCCGCGCTGGCCGGGCAGGCCGGGCAGAGCCATACGCCCATCCCTCGCTGGACCTTGGCGCTTTCGGGAGGGACCCGGCATGGCTAAGAGAGAAGCTCCGAAGCGCCGGGCTGTGCCAGCGGTTGCGCCACCAAGGCAAGTCCATATGCAACAAACCTGGAAAGAAGAGTGCAGACGACTCCTTTTGTTTCAGCTCCTCTTCACTTGCTGTCAGCCTGGCCCAAATCAAATTTCTCAGGTGGTTCTTCCTGAACAGGATCCAGCCAAAGATTTATTCGGTAAGCTTAGATGCAATTGTCGATGGCCAGTCTGCTGGCTTTCGAAAAGTATGGGCCTCTTCAGATGGCAGAGGTGCATGAGATCAGTTCCAGACTGGAACCGCCACAGCAGCTGCGGCCCTGTTCGCGGCTCCGGCAAACCTCGTGTTCGTTCAATCGCTAAGAAGCAAGATTCCGACCCGTCGACATAGCTGACACCATCAGTCAATGCGCCACGGGCAATAAGTTGTCGCTACCGTGCTAAATCTTGGTTGCATCCAAGTTCCTAAGGTTCATAGTTCGTGGGTGTCTCGTGAATCTGTCGACAAAGGGTTCAGTTCCAAACTCAGAGAGCAGCGCAGTGACCTTCAGGGTTTTCCCAGCAGTGGATTCCTTGCCCGGGTTTGACTTGTTTAGGCTCTGCCCCGATTTGAAGTCGACTGCACACAATGTGCATTTTAGCCATTCTAGCCTTCCAACATGCTGCCGGGCAGCATGGCCCCAGATGGGGACAAGGGTGCACTACATCGTAGACATTGGCTACGAGGCCTGTACTGGAGTGTCTGCATTCTGCACCTGGCGGCTCTATGTGCTGCGTCGTCTGGAGAACTTCTTGCTTGGGCAGCATGGGAGATGTGGAGGCCCGAACTTGACAGGTAAACGGCCACGCAGGGATGCCTGACTGCATGCAGATGCAAGAACACAGCATGTAAACGCAACGGGTGAACTAGCAATGAACCATTGAGAATCTGCCAGAAGTGCAGGGTATGGACAGAGGACGGCTTCCAACAAGAGTCCCATGACAGTGACGTAGTCCGACCCAGTAAGATCAGTAAGTGAAACTTGCATTTCCGGCGGCCTACCTTGGGCAACATCCGGAGCTTGAGAAATATGTGCATCAAACGAGCCAAGACATGCACGTGCAGAAGAACTTTCTGATGGAACTAACACGACAAACGCGCGCCGTTCTGCTTCACAGTCCAGTGGGGCCAGACCTTTCAGGTCTCCAGGACTGCGGACTTCATCTCCAACAACCTCACAGCTGCGGCAAGCGGGCCCGAGGGACGGTTTTCCTTCAACAGCGGCTGCAACTCCGTCACGTGCAACGTCCAAGCATGCCTACTTCGATGCTATGGCTATCTGTCAGAAACTGCTGATGCGTCTGAGTCATCTGCTCCGACCGTAACTTGGCAAGCAGGCGCTGCAACCGTGGGGAGGCTTCTCGCTCTGCCTCTAGCTTCCCGACCGCGCGATTCTTCGAGTTGCAAAACTTTAAAACTGACTGGTGCTGGACACATCGCACATGTGCCATCAACAACCAACACACACACACACAGATACACAGACACACGGCACACACACACACACACACACTCAATCCTAACGCGCCAGCTTGCAAGCACCACGATTTTTCCATAAGAGACCCGATAGATACAGCTTGTCTACGCATCTCCGAAGCCGTTGCCTGGGCCTGTGTTCCCTGCAACTTGGAGCAGTGTTGTTGTTCGTTTTTGGCTGACACATTACACGCTCGGTTGACTTAGGGTCGTTCTACGGCTTATCGTCTAACAAAGATCCTTGAAGCGGCCTACTGCACGCAGCATACGATGGCTTCGGCATCGGGCTGCTCTGCACCTGAAACCGACCTCGGCCCGATCCGAAGCCCGCCTGTGTCTCGAAACTCAGCCCCGAAACTCGACACCGAAACTGACCCCGAAAACCCTGAAACTCACAACTTCCAGCTGTTAGACCGGCCGGTTCCACCATGAGAAAAAAGTGCAAACGCAAATGCACCTCTTTCCAAACATGTGGGGCAGGGTCGCCAAAGTCACAAGCAAGCAGTTGGGCAACAGGATGTAGGGTAGGATCAAGCAAGTATATGACTGGCAGTGAACAAGAAACCACAAGCCGTGCAAACACCTCTGACCGTGTCACAGTGTCTGCACCTGCAAGGAGATGCTAAGCTTGATGGCTGTTGATAACGTCCTCTCCTGGCCAAAGTTCACAGGCAACGAGACGCAGACACTCACCCTGCTCAAGGTGAACACGTGCAAGCATGTCACGATGGTCCTTTCCTTTCTCTGCAGATATATTTTGCTGCTCAGGGTTTACATGACATGTGCATGCTGCATCATGTTGCCTTGTCTTCAATCCGGTCGAGGAGCTCGAAAGCCTGCACCTGCGATCTATTCCGAGCAAGGCAGAGATCTGAAGGCTTAAGCGACTTTACTCACCCACCTTGCCCTTGACTGGCATGCTGTTCTGAGCAAGATTCATCGTGTACTCGGTGGAGCCGCAGCTTGTTGTATTTCACACGGAGACTTCCACTACTTGTACTGCAGCTGCAACACTCAATGCTGAAGCCTGCGTGAGCATGGTCACCAAGAGGCCACAACGCAGCGAGATTCCCCATTCCTCCTGTCGGCTTTACTTGTGCGGAGTAGGGGAGTTGTGGCTTAGATTTGGTGCAAGTAAGATCCCAGCAGCATGACGTACCCAAACCATTCTTTTGGATTCGTGCAGTTCTGCAGCCTTCGTTACTGACACCAGATTCACTGTTGCAGCAGATGCTCTGGCAGCTGTTGGGACAGTCTGTGGATGTGTGGCTCGGATTTCGAACCTCGGGACGAGAAGCACAAACAAACCAAAGCAGGCAGGGCACCGTGTGTTGAAAACCTCCTCGGGCAATTGAAGCCAACTATAATTACAAAAACTACTTGATCAGGCGAACCCCAAGCAGCTTTGCAGCAACTCGCAACTCAACTTTTCCGCAGGTGAGCTTCTCATGCAAGCCGCAGTTGGGAACAAGCAGAACATTTGGGGCGTGTAGATTGTGTAGATGCTGCCCAGCTGCTCCGTGGGCACAGCCCAGGCCCTGGTTCAGAGAACGACTGTGGAGTCTCACCGAGCAGATCCTGCGGAAGAAGGCACGTTCCGTGTTCGACATTGTAGATGTTGGGAATCGGCTGTGAGGAAGACGCGACCACGTCGCATCGCGGTACGTGATGCAAGGTTTGGGCGCCGCCTTTGAGACGACCTGGCGAGCTACGCCCAGCAGAGGAAAAGCGTAAACTTCTTCGCCGTTTTTGTCTTGTCTGCGTCCTGGTCTGCGTCGCTGAGACTCCAAGTGAAGCCCGTCAGCACTCACAGGCGGTGAGGGCAGGCATGGACAGCTGAGGGAGCACTCAAATTTGACTTTGACCCATCCACTACTGTCTTAGCGCTTGGTACTTGGGATGAAAGCTTGGCAGGTCTCCAAAAAAACACGGTCCAAAAACGCGCAGGGTCCTCCATGTCCAAGGTCTTACGGTGAAGACCGTCCCGGTCGTAAAGTGCAATTTGCTCCTTGGCTCAGAGTTTCTACTGTATCATCTTCCGTCTAATTCCACATTCTGCAAGCACTGAAATTCAGTCAGTAAAGCAAAGACAAGCAGGCGAGCAGCTTCAAACAGACGATGAGCGTCCTGCAGCAATCGTCTGGCCTTGCCATACTTGAGCTACCGAACACCAAGCGCATGCCTATGTGCCACTGCTGGGTTCGGCCAGGTTCTGCTTCAAAGTGCTGATTCTCTCCCGAAATTCACAGTTTGATGAGCTCGTGTTGGCGTGTTTTCGTGCTGCTCGTGTACATGGGCTTTCCCGTTGCTGCCAGTGTTTTGAGCTGGCACGGAACTAGCCGCATGGTGAAACTTTGAACATGGCCTTACCACGCCTTACCGGCGCGGCTTCCCACACATAGTCCACCAATTTTGGAGTGGGGTCTTTTGTCTTTTGCGATCATTTCTAAGCGCTTCGAGGCGCAGTAGGCGACCACTTGCTTGGCAAGGCCCGCCAACGGACGGCGGCTCGGGTCCTCCCCAGGTTTCAGGAAGGCCAGGAGAGCTCCAAACGTACAAACTCCGCAGGTCAGTGGTTCAGGCCCAGCTCCAGCAGCAGATCCCTCAGCAACGGGCTGACAAAGATGTGCAAAGGCGCCCTGCGACTTCCGCGACCCCTCACGATGGGCCCTTCCCGGGTCGCGTCGTGCCGCTTGGACCCCCAGCGGAGAGTGCTCGTCGTAGCAGTGCGAGACGATGTTCTCCAAGACTTGCAGGCTGTCCTCCGCAGCGTGCTAGAAAATGGCACAGCGGAGCTTTGGCTTGTTGCAGAGACATCTGAGACTTCCACGGCTGGTCAGGGCACTTTGCTTCCGTGCAAAACCGGACTGCTTTGGAGCTCGAACTTCTTAAGAAAGCAACACTATCACTACTAAGCTGCTGCCTGCTCCTGCACATCTTCGGCATCCATGTCTTCCTGCGACCGTTTGCGAAACCTTTACATCCCACGTACAAACATTGAGGAGTGACAGCATCACGGAAGAGGTTGGCGCGACCTTCGCTCGGACAGAAACATCTAACCAAACTGCAGGGCGCCTCAAATCCCATGGCGAGGTCCTAACGGTGCGACGCTCTGAACTCACCGCCACACGTTTCACAAAACTACATACGGCTTCATGCACGTGTTTGGCCTCTTCCCGCTGGAACCGCATGACCTCGGTCTCCGAAGCATCGGGCAGCTTCAGTCTTGAAGACCAGGAGGCGAAGGATTACAAGCCCCCTTCTCTGGGAGCAGCAAAGCCAGTGCCATTAAAGCCATAGTTCCTCCTATGATTAAAATCGTTGACGCTGAGTCGCTTGGCTGGTTCTCCATGTGAGAAGTAGCTTTGGTTCTCATATGTGCTGCCCTACGCGGTCTATGCCATGAAAAGATGCTCTCTGATCCACTTGACATAAACTGCTACATGGCTCGAAAAGATAGCCGCTGTAGCTGAGCCCGCGGCTATGCCCGATTTACCTTCTCGAAAAAGAACGTTGCCACTGACCCAGATACGCCCCTTGATCAGGTACAAAGTGCCATGGTCGTCCGTGACTTTCCACCTTTGCCCGAGAGCATCCATGCACCTTGGCGAGCACAGGGCCGAGGGAATTCCATCGTGTGTCTTTGTTGGGCCGCGCCTGTCACCGACGAAGGTCAATCGATGCATAAATTGCTGCGCAATGCTGGAGAAAGAAGGCTCCAGTGCCTGGGCTGAGAATGACCTACAGTAGCACTGGACCATACTGGACCAGAAGGAAACAACAACCTATCCAGAACATGATCGCCTCATCGAGCTTGATCAAACTTGAACTCGAGTAGAAAAACACAGCGCAGCATCCCGATCAGCGGGTTAAGCGGCCCAGGTCCCCTGGAGAACTTCGAAGCTGGAGTGCTTCCGCTTTCGCCTAGACAGGGTTCAAAGTGTTCCGCTTCATCGGTTCAAGCCAAACCATTTCGCCACGTCAGAGATTCCACAGGGAAAGCTATGTATGATCCCGGCTTCCGGGCCGCTACCCGCCCCTCACCCAACCCCGAGCCCTTCTGCATGGTACGGGGCCCGTCTGCGACAACGGTCGCAGGGATTGAGCCCGCAGGGGGGCGTGGTCCTCGTGACAATCGTCGTTTTCGGAGGATGGGATCGTCACCGCTATGTAGCAGTCCGATTCGTCGATAGGCGTGGACCTCGTGTTGTCGTCATGTTTCGCGTAGCTCTCACAAGTGTTCGACACGCGGGGCAACTTCGCATCTCAAACATGGAGAACATGGGAACGGAACCCACCACCCAAACCACCGGGGGAGAGGCGAGGCGACGGTTGTCAATGTGAACGATCCGCGAGACAGCGAAGGCTGTAGCACAGGGACAGGATGGGACAGGGGCATTACAAGCAAGTGGAAACTGTCAACACCGCCAACCGCTTTAGTGGAGTAACAATCACAATACTGTTGATGATATAAATCCTGCATTACCTTAAGGACCCTAAACTATGGGAATTACGGTTATATTCCTTATTATGGGTGATGCAGGATTTGCGACAATACTACTGAAGCGGTAAGGGACCTCCTTCAACGACTCTTGTGGGTGCAGTGGTTCTCGCTGTCAAAATCATTAGCCTACACACCTGAATTTGTCGTTTGCTTGTGCGGTGAGCAAAGTCTTGTCTTGCAGGCCTGCGCGGCTTGAAGTTGCTGCAAGCAAGGGCGTCTCTCTGCTGATCATCCAGTGGGCATGGTGGCAGGCTGCAACATCGGCAGTGGAAACCCTCTTCCGACCAGACCACGTCCGTCTCAACCTCAGCAACAGCACATTTCATTGTTGACCTTGGCTCTGCAGGAGTTGCTCGGTGAAGGGCGCATGCATCTGCCTTCCCGAGCATGGGATCTGTCTGGACGGTGCCGTCCGTTCCCGCGAAAAGAAGGCTGAAACCTGACAAGGCCAGGGCCAGCCTAGGAAAAAGAACGGGGGGAACGGGGGCTGGCCTGATGAGCCCCTGCCATCTGATGATGAAGTGTAGCACAAGCTGGCAGAGCTTGCCCCATCGCGGTCGCTGCTGAACCCTGAGAATGCCAGCGTGATCGGAGGGCCACCAGCTCTGTCCATCTTGGGAGGCCGATCCTTCTCCTTATTGCCAGCAGAGCATTTCAACAAAGTCTGCTTCACAGCACTTCTTGCCTGATTAAGGAAGGGTCTGGTGGCGGTGGAGAACTGAGAGGGCCCGGTGAAGGAACCACATGGTGGGGTGCAAGAGGGTGGCGAGTGTCCTCCGACGTCGGGCCCGCATCAAAAGCTACGTCATGCAGGTCCCGGATATGTGAAAGTTTGCTCTGTTGGAGCTCCTGGACTTCGGGATCCGGCTGAACCCGGCCGGGTGAGGACCTCATTGACACTTAGAACTCCTCCACACTTCGAACAACACTTCGAACACGAAACCTTCAACGATCTTGCATCATGCCGCATCATGCCTCTTGCATGCAACGGCTTTCCGTGCCTTCTTTGCTCGGTGAAGCCCGAGACCCGCCTGGAGACGCAGAACATGAAAATGTGGGAAGACCTGGCTTGCTCGCCGAGTTCAGAACTTGATGCCAAGCAGGTAGGTCCGTCCTGGTGTGCAACTCCATAAATGCCAAAACTAGCTGGACAAGCTGTGGCTGGCCTGGGCGTCCATGGTACAGAAGAATCAGCTGGCAGGCCTGACATTGACCGTCGAAGCACAAGGCGGGACGAGTCTTGGTGCCCCTCTGACCCCACTCAGCCACCAACGGTAGGGGCCGGATCTGCTAAGATAAGCTTCACGTTGACGCTTCTTGGAATCCGCGAGCCATCCTCAGGTATGTTTTCTGGCTGCGCTGCTGACACAACCCACTGGCCAGGCACCACCAAGGCCCTTGCTATATGCTTGCACAGCTGCGAGAAGTTGTCCCTGCCAGCCCATGCCAGCACTGTCTTGGAATCCGACTTCTCTATGCGTGTCATATTGCACACAAGGCAAGCAAGCGCACTGGGCTGCATCTCGCAGAGCCCCGCACGCGCAACAAAGCGAAGGCATGCGAAGGCCTGTAAGCTTCGTCCACCAGCATCAGGAAGCTTGAACCCTCCACCTCGTGCAAATCAATGGACTACTGCCAAAAAGCCTCTGCGTCACCCGTCAGTTGGCATCGTCTGAAACATCAAGTTCGCCATGAATTTCAGAAGCAGGCAGACAGTCGTGAAACACTCTGTGAGCAGCGGCCGGCAACTAGTCGAAGTGTAGCCGAGCAGCATCCTTCCCGAAAAACGACTTGGCAGCTTGGAGGGAACCATTGCATATCCGGAAGTCCTCTCAGTGCAGGATGCAGCTCCACGGTCCAACTGTCAGTTCTCCGGAGTCTGCATCCGGGGCCGGTTTGTTGTTTCCAGCATCGTGGCGCAGCACAGGCAGCTGAAGCAATGTATGCATTGCTTGACCGGGACTGCTATTCCTGCAAATGTTGGAACGCTTCCTAGTACCCATGTCCTCGTGCAGGCTCAGGGCTAAACAGCAGCCGTACAACTTGAAGATTTTCAGGTCACGTGCCAAGGCGGCCTTATACAGCTGTGTTCAGACCACTCAAGCAATGCTTCAGCAGGAAATCTGCCATGTTGCACACAGGACATCGAGCAGACTGCAAGAAGAACAGATACTGAATGCTATGCGGTAGCTCGCATCTGAGTGGACGGCCTTAGCGACTTCTTTCTCTACAGAAGCCTCAACGCAAGGCAGGCATGAAGCATCTGCAATTGGTAAGCTCGCCACGGCCTCTGGAACACTACAGTGCACACGAACCACAAACCACCACCTACCCCGGCATGGTAAGGGTCCACAACGAGAAGTGATCGGACATGGAGTTTAAGACGAAAGGCGGTCCAAAAATGCCACGTAGCTCTCGGCATGTACTGATAATGCAGTAAGGCTTACCCCAGCATGACTTTGCACGTGGCCACAACTGCGTTTGAAAACTCGGGAGTTGAGCATGTTGAAAGGCCATCCCGAACATTCCTTGCATTCACGAGCCTCGCGCATGAGGGAGTCCTAGAGCATCGACGGATTCAACAGGTTCTTAGAGTTATGTGCGGCAAATGCGGAGAACATGAATGCACCGGCTCGCAGATCTGTCATCGTTTTTTCGGAAGCCACTGTCACTGCACCCCCTTGGCTCTCCTGGGAACAAGCCTGCATCCAGCCCTCTCGGCAGCTCCGCTCTCTTCGGTGAGCAGCACCTTGGAGGGTTCGGCAAGGCGGCTCTGGCTGCACTTCCACGACCAGAGCATGTCGTTGGCCGAGCTGCCACTTGGGAAACTCCATGCTCGGCGCCCGGCAATATGAGGATGTCAGCAACCACAGCAAGAGAGCAGCGTTCAGGATCTGCACGCCTTAAACACAAAACCTCAACTGAAGACATGTACAACTCTCGGAGATGATGGAGCATCCTCGCTATGAGGATAGTCTGTGCTACCAGTACCGTGCCTGTCAGAAACCGTCAAAGCAAAACCAATGTGAGGTAACGACCGCGCCACAACCACACAGCCGTCGCAAGTTCACCATCCACTCGTTGTTTTGAGGCAAATGAAGGCAGGCCTGACTGGTGGCCTTGGCTAGCGCCCATCACGGCCTGCAGGAGCCCAATGGGCACGCCAGCTCACATGATGTTCATTCTGGTCTCTTGGCTAGTTGGCCTGGAAGCAGCAGGCCACCCCAGCCAGGATCACCAACGGACCAAGGAAGCAACACCGGAGAGGGAGGACATGGCAAGCAATCGAAACGAAGGCCTTGGTGCAACTTGCGCCTTCGTCGAAAGTCCAGCGCGGTAAAGACTGCTAGCTGCCGGGCATCCCGCAACACTTAGAAGAACTGCAGAAAGCTCTGATGCTTCTCCATCCAAGCAGTCCAGCTCCCTGACGACACTGGCATCAGCGCGGTAAAGCACAACGTGCTCACAGCCTCTCTTCAACCCAAAGTCGCCACCATCGTCCATGAAGGACACCGGCCTTAATAAACTTCCATGGCCCAAGCAATGCGACTTCTCGCTAACCCCCCCCCACTGCCGCTGACGCTCTTTCTCCTCCTCTCTTTCTCAGAGGGTTCGGGGCGTCACTGCATACACTCTACTGCAACAATCTGCAACACGTCTCGACGTGAGCGAGCAGCGAGAGCTTCTGAGTTGGAGATGCCAATCATCCTCCCCTTGCTTTGCTCGGGGCCCTCCTTCTTCTGCCAGCCAAAGGAGAGCAGGCGCCCTCCTCTCTCCGTCTCTCGCGCTCGCTCTCGCTCTCGCGCGCTGTCCCTCTTCTTCGACACAGCCAAACTCTCTCTTTCTTTCGTCAGGGCTGGGGCTAGGGGTGTGTCCCCTGGCCGCGCAGCCAACTCTCGCTCTCTCCCACTCTCCCTTGCTTGCTTGCTTGCGGGGCGTTTGGGGCCAAGGGTTATCCCCTGAACCCCTGCGCGCTAGCGCTACGCCACTGTCCCGGTGGTCTGTTGGAGTGAGACAAGCTGAGGGTCGGCAACAAGCGGCTAGGCTCACTCACTCAATTGCAGCCCTTTTGTCCTAAGAAGTCCCCGCCTAGTCCGCTTCGTTTGTGCCGAACCCCACTCTGTGCTGAAGCTCCGCGCTCGTCCCCGTACTTTGTCGGTGACAGCGGTTTGGGCTTGCCCATTGGGGTCCCCTCCCTCTCTCTTCTTCCTTGCACCACGGCTCGAGACCGGCTCTACTAGCTGAGCTTTGNNACTGCCGGGTGCCGTATGACATGGCGTCTTCGGCGAGTGCTGCTGTCCATGGTGTGCAGCATGTTGAGTCCAGTGACCTTCCTGCCGCTGCTGACCAGGACCCCCGATTCCCTCGCGCTGCCAAGGAACACAACAAGATTGGATCAGAATGGCTGGGGCCTGAATCCTGCAGTGCTGCCGGCCCCTCAGAGGAGACCGTACAAGTGGATGTCTTTGCAGCTGCCGCGGAGCCCTGCGAGATGGACTGCACGTCGGACACCCAGGAGGACAGAGTCATGCTTTCTAGGTTGGGCCCGAAGCGCAAGCCACGCCGCAGGTCTCTTCCCCTCCGCAAGTACCATCAGCTGGTGGCCTTGGCGGAGGCGCCAATGCACAGAAGAGGCATGACAATTTCGACGGCCCCTTACTGGGTGCCGCCCAGGACGTCGCTTCCCTTAAGATTGAAGCCTGCCAAGCAGCCACTGTCACTGCTCAACTGGACTTGCATGCCATGGACTAGCCTGTTGATGCTAACATACGGCCCCGGCGTAGGGAGCCCAAGCGCCGCCTTCTTGATGAACTCTTGGGTTGTGGGCGCGTTGCTCGCAGCAGCCCTAGCGGCGCACTACCAGTACGGCTCCCTCGAAGGATGCCGGTCGGAGCCGAGCCCGGTCCCAAGTCCGGGCCTTGCTTTTGTGTGCCCTCTCAGCAGACCCCCTGCCAGGCAAGGGGTGCGAGGGTTGCCGGATGCCCCGCCTCAGGTCCGGCCGAAGCAGCTTACTCAGCTCTTTGTCAGCTAGCACACAGTTGTGCGAAGCCACGAGGTAGGCAGTTTCCTTTTCTACCCGGTGTTTTTGCAGCCTTACCCTGCTGTCCTTGTCACACTCATCACCTCACTCAAGCCGACCCGGTCACCGTCATTACGACTCTCAGGTCTTTTGCAGGTGCTCCCTGTCAACGGTTGGCGCCTCAGTCGGCCCCTGCTGGGTGCCGTTCTGTATCTTATTTGCCCTCGCTGCTGCTCGCAGGACTGCTCCGGGACAGCGGCCGCTCTCAAACCTGGTCTCCTCAGATACGTGCTCGTTTGTTGCCTCAACAGCCCTTGTTCTGCTGCAGGCGCCCGCTGGACGACACCCTTCGAACCGTTGGCTGGGGCCTCATCCTAGACCCTTCGCCTAGCCCTGCTGCCCGGCCTCAGACTACTAATGTGCTTTCTGCCTGCCAGCTCTTGTCTCTTTCGCTTTTGGCCCAGCCTGAGCCTTGTCACGACAGTGCACACTCAAACCTGTGTCACCACTTAAGCCACTTAAGCCTTCCACTGCCTGTCCCACTGATCCACACCTCAACCGACCAGCACCTCTACTGATCCACTGATCGACGACGATAGGAATAGAGATCTCCACACCCCTATCTCTCCTCCCCGTGTTTCTGTCCCTCCTCCCTGCCGCACCATGCCAAGACGCGTCGGCAACCGAGCCCGTGTTAGGCCAGACGGCACCAGGCGTCGCACCAAAGGAGAGCTCGCTGCTCGTGCCTTGTGCCGGGAGCCACGCGAAGCCAGGCGGCAAAGGAGGCGGGGGCCCCCGTCAGGGAGGCCGGGGGTGTGGCAGTGTAGGTCGCAGTGGAAGAGGAGGAGGTAGCGGCCCCCCTCGGGGTGGCCGAGGCGGCTGGGGAGGAGACTGATGCTGAAGCTGAAGCCGCAGTGGAGATGGAGGACCCCGCGCATCTCGAGAAGGAGCCGCTTCGTTTTGGCTGCAAGCTGGGCGCGTTTGCGGCGCTCCGGGGGCTGACTGACCGCCATCCACAGGCGGGACGGCTCCCCGTCCTTTCGGGTACCCAAGGTCACGTTTGCAGTTCTCACACGGCTCACCGGGCCGCACGATGATGTATCCCCGCCTGAGGCCGGGGACAAAGGCATCATCGAGGTCCACATCAACTTGCAGCTCCTGAAGCACGTTCTTCGCTTTCTCCAAGGTGACCTTTGCCTCTTGATTCGCGTCCCAGCCGCCTACAATGAAAGCCGGGCGTCGTGCTGCGTCCCCGGACGTCCCTGGCAGGGGTGCTTGCTTCTTGATCTGGGCCAGCTGCTCCTCTAGGGCGAGGACTCTGTCGACCAGTTGCTTCGTCTCTGCCCCCCTCTGAACCAGGGTGACCGCTTGCTTCTCCTGCTTGACCGCAAGTTCTTGAATGGAGGCGAGCGTTTGTTGCAGCTGCTTGGTGACTCCTTTTTCAACCGCCTCAACACGCTTGTTCATCTTGGCCATGGCCTCCCCGATCTCCTCGCTGAGCCTGCTTTGCTGGGTGGCGGATCCAGCCTGAGCTCCCTGAGCATGTCGGTGATGGCCTCGAGGAAGCCCTGTTGTGCCCCCGGATTGGGCGCGGCTGGCAGCTTCTGCGGTGACGCGCCTTCGTGGTCCACCGGCATGGCCCCGAAGGGCGGCTCCTCTTGCGTCCCCGCCGGGGGGCTGTCCCCTAGCATGGTCATGGCCTCCGCCGAGAGCACCACCGAGGTCGGCGAAAAAGTGGTGCTGAGGCACTCGGAGAGAGTGGGGATGGGTGTAGTCCCCTCAGCGCTGGGCACGCGGAGAAGGTCCCCGTTGAGGTAGAGGTCCTGTAGTCTCGCCGAAGGCGGTGGGGTAGCAGTTGTCAGAGTCTCTTTCTAGCTGGGGGCAGCGGTTGCCGTGCAGGAGTGCTCTCACCGATGTCGCTCGCGACAGCGGGGCAGGAGAAGAAGCGTAGAGCAACACGGTTGTAGTAGGGCTCGGATTGCGGGGGGTTGCTCCCCTGTTTTCTCTCTGGGGCTCGGGGCTCGAACCACTCACGGCTTGAGCCAAAATGCCTCTGTTCTCTTTTTTTTCTGCAGGGCTATGGGCAAGAGGGTAACAGAGGCTCTCTCTCTCTCTCTCTCTCTTCTTCCACACAGTCAGAGAGAAGGCACGTGCGCACCCTCTCCCGCGCGATGCCGCGCCCTGGTCTCCGTGGTCTCAGTAAAAGCCCTCAAGAAGATGAGGCCTGTGTGCTCACAACCGTTGCAACCCCCACACAATACCCCGAAACTAAGTTCCCTCTTAAACTCTTTGGCTGGTGCCGGCACTGTAGCACGAACTCGCTTCTTATTGCAAGCTCACAACTAGCTCTGCTCTCCCTCTCTCTCTTTCTTTCGTCTGGGTTGTGGGCAGGGGAAGTTCCCTCTCTCTCTCTCTCTCAGACTGCGGCGACAGTGTTGGCACTGATAGCACAAGTCCACAGAGCCTCTGAGAGGCCGCGGCACCTCAGAGCAAAGCTGTCTGTGGTCTTTTTTCTGGAACTTTGCACTCAACCCTTAAAGGCTAAGCGGATGTTTCTGGGCAATCCACGTCTCACCTTTGGAGAAGAGGCCGTGAAGGCAGGCAAGAACCATCAGCACGGCAGCACTTGCCTGCTGGCTTCATTCTGAAGGCAGTGCATGCACCGACCACATGCATCAAGTTGCCAAGCTGCCAAGCCTGCATCAACAAAAAGATCAGACCAGGCGCTGACATGCCCGTACTCCAAGGCATCTCCTTACATCAACATTCACTACTCATTCCCTTCGCTCACCAGACAAGGTACTTTCGGGCCTGAGACAGGCGATTGGTAGCGATGACGACCTGCAGTGCAACCTGCGTCAGTCCTGGCAAGAGAACACCAGCGTACCAAAGAATTGAAAAACGTCACCAGCGCCCGCATCTCATGTTGCGGAAAGTCTTGATTGCGAATGTCAGATTGTCGATTGTCTGCTGCCAACGACTGACGAGCAGTCAGCGTGCACACAGGGACCCTCGCATAGCCGGACAGTGGAAGGTCTGAAACCGGATGCCATGATACTGAACACATGGCAATGCCGATGGAGGCAGTGACAAAAGCCGGGCTGAAGCTGCGCGGTGCAGGCGTTAGCTCAATGCTCTCCGAAACAAGCTAGCTGCTTCTAGCTGCAAGCGTTTCGCGATGTTACCCGGCTAGAGACACAGCGTTTCGCGCCTGCTGGAGCTGCTAGTCGAAATGACTGTTGCACCAAGTCATGGCGAAAACGAAGCTCGTTTTCTTGGCTGGCAAAGCGCAGGTCCGCTGAGCGAAGTGTCTGCCTGCAGACAATGGCACCGGCTTTGTGCTAGTTGTGCTATCGCTGCCAGCGGTCTGTGTGCTTTTGCTGCTTTACCAGCCTGAAGCTGGAAAGCAGGCCGAGCCAGGCCACGTTCCGCATTCCAGCCATCTTTTCGAGACATCCTGCCTCGAGCGGAAGCAGTGGCCGGGCACCCCAAAAAATGTCCTAGATAGTTGCAGCATGGCGTGGACTGTTCCGGTGGAGGAGAATGATCTGCTCTTGTTTCTTCTGAGAGCACCTATGTAGATGCCAACTCTGCCGAATGAACAAAACATGTCATGACAGCTGAATGAGCCAGGAATGGAAACATGACGAGCATAAACAAAGCGAGACTGAACCTTTGCTTCTGAGGCAACACCCTCTTGCAATGTGTCGCAAGAACGTAGAATGTCCTTTCCTGCATGTCGTAAACCCAATGGCCCAAGTAACCGACAGCCAAGGCTGCGTTGGCAGCGGCAGCCTCGTGGTCAGCCTTAACACGAACAAAAAGACTCATCTGTCTGATCCTCACGAACCCCTCGTCATGATCCAAGTGCAGAACTGCCCTTCGAAGCTGGAGTTTCGTGGGAGACGCATTTCTGAGTTCCTGAAAATCGTGGATACGCCAACAACTGCAGAAAGGGTAACGAGGTGTCATGCCTGTGCCACGAGAAGCTCTGCCTTAGCAGAAATGATCGCCAGGCGCCCCAGGCGGAAGCAGTGGTGGGCCTTCAGAAAGTCACAGTCCAAAGCATCCTCCCAGGCGATGAGTAGAAGTGGCCGAAGAGGATCAGCGGACTCTGGCTCTGCAGACTTGGAGATCGCCAGTGCGACCGCGGCACCGTGCAGGTTGCCAAGGGCCAAGCGAACATCTGACACGGCTGTGGAAACTGGGTGGGGGCCCGAGTCTAACTATCTTGTTCACTGCAGTCAAGGCTGCACTTGACATGAGATACCAAACACACGGCCCAGGGAAAACGTGTCTAATGCTTGCAGAAATACAGTTAAGCCATTAAGCACCCGGGCTCCGCGACTTCTGGCCTGAAAGAAGTTGTCGCATGAACACCGCAGCTGGCAGGGCCCGAAGGCTGTCTTCGGACACCGGGGCATCCATTGCATCGAACCGAGGAAGGAGTGGTGTCAGCTCTGCGTCCAGCTGCAGCAGTTCATCGCGACTTGAAAGACATGCTGGAGACCAGAAAGCATCCGGCCACGTGTTTGAGGAGCCTCGCTTGAGGTGCTTCCGCTCGAAGGACAGTGCCTCCAGGACGAGTCTCCAAGCTGCTGCATCCTCCAGCCCAGGGTTTAAGTCGGAAAGTGCACCAGGTACTTCGCCCTGCCAATCACCATCACCAAGCGCAGCTCTCTGCCTCTGCTGGCGCGATTCTTCGGCAAGAGCAGCCAAGCTTGCATTTTTTCGGGCTATGTACCTGGACAGTTCCACCCTGGAAAGGACTCCATGGACATCACCGTCCTCGTCGTCAACACCTCCGACGCTGCAGTTCAAAGGAGGTGGCTGTGGAACCGAAGACAAGTCATATGCAACTTCAACCGGTGCGGCCGGAGAGTACTCAATCCTTTGTGGTTTCGGCGGGCGCTGGCCCTGCAGAATAGGACAAGCCTCCCTGTGCCTTGCAGCCCTGGCTTTCCAGGAGACAGGCGAAATATTCCCCACGCGAGGAGCACATCGCGACTGCCACGTCAAAGGAGAACGATATTGCAACTCAAGCCGTCCAGTCATGTCCAGTCATCGGAGCCAGACCGGGCACTACATGCTGTGACTGCTGTGACATGAGCTGGGACGGAGCCTCTGAAATGTTCTCGTGGTCCTGCGTATGGCTCTCAGGCGTGTTTTGCATGTCTGGAATGTTCTGCGAGCCAAGTACATAGGAGGCCGGGCAAGGCCCCAGATCAAGAGACTCAACTCGAGATTGCGGACATGTCGTCCGCGATGATGCCAGGAGACATGCGCAACTGATTTCATGAGCACTGTCGCGAAGCAGTTGGGATGACCCGCAAGCATTCTTGTGCTACTGCAGGCTTTCATCCCAGCAGACGAGCAGATTCAGGCCTTGTCGCTTAATTTTTTACACAAGAGCCAGCCCGAGAATGATTGGAGCATCTGGCTGACGGCGTGGCTCTGCCCATCTGCTAGTAGAAGTTCGAGGGTGAGACACGTGCAGAGAGGCAACCAAGATTGCCAGTGAGAAGCAGACTCTCTCGTGCCAGAAGCGCAGCTTGGTTGGCTGCTTGCACAAAGCTTGGCTGAGATCGCCTCACGAAGCCATACAAGTAAAATAAAACCGTCAATCGTCAGTTGAACATCATACACGATGAACTTGAAGTACCGGGTATCAAAAAGCATCCCCGCTTGTCTGTTCAGACCTTTGCGAAGGTTCTGCAAACCTGAGACAGGCATTGAGCTCTAAGATGCACCAAGTGAAAGCACAGCTGCTTCCCGCGCACGGCTCCGAGCAACGATCAACAAGGCTGCAGAGGCTCAGCACGAGCATCTGAGACTGACAGTGTCACGTACCACGTGCAAGAGCTGCTGCATGCAAGTTAAATAGTTCGTGAACAAGTTGGACTCTCGTGGGACTTTTTCGCCTCGGGGTCACGGATCTCTCCAACCATGATCCTTTCACCTTCTAACTTTCTTGTGCGTTTCATGCATGCAGTGGTTCTGCGGGCTTCTGAGACACCTGAAACCAAGAAGCTAGCTGATGATGCTGATGGATCACAATGACGGCAGGAAAGATCAAGGGGGCGAGAGAGGTCAGACAGTCTCATCAAATCATGCTGACTTCAGGATGTTGGAATTGCCGCTGGGACACGCTTGGCTGCAGATGTCGTTCACCTTCCGGAGCCGATCCTGCCAACTTCGCGGTGCTGCTGCGCAGCTCGCTTCAGCAGACAATCGCCTCGATGCTCTTTGTGGCCATGTCGTAGTCACCGTACTCACCGGATGGAGTGTTCCCCATTTCAGCCTTGCAGAACATACACGGTGCGCACGCATGTCAAATGCGATTTGAGCACACCTCATATAGTTTGCAGATGGCATGTGGGCCATGCTGTTTTGCAAACCGCAATGCTCATCGCGAGTCTTGATGACATGTTGGTGCTGGATAGTGGAACGATTGGCATCAATGCGACCTGCATCACATTTCGAGGACCTGCAACAGAAGCTGCTTGTTCAAAGCCGCAAGTTGCAAAAGCTTCTGGTGCTTCTGATCTGCGGATGGCTCCAGCCTGCATCTTGCCCTGCAAACCATCATAGAGAAGAGTGTTGCCTGCGGCTCCGAGAAGCAGCAGGGTTGCTGATAATGCTCCGAACAAGGCTCCGAGGCTCTCGCAGAGAGGCGAGTACTGCTTGGTGACCAACTTCACGACCTGGTACACCCCCGCACACCAACAAAACACGCGCCGCTTCCAGATGGTTGCGATGCAACTGCCCGCGACCTCCTGAGCTTATCTCACATGCCCCATGCTTATCGTTCATGAGCTTGCCTCCTGCGAGGTGATTCCACCAAGCACCGAAGATGTGGTATGTAGCTCGCAGCCACCATATCGTACCACCTGCACAGGAGTGCAGCTTCATCAACTAGTGTGAGGCTCAGCACCTCAGCACCAGTGCATCTACTTGGCTGGATTCAGCCAGCCGGGTTAGCAGAGTTCGGTGCATCCTGGCACAAATCGGAGGAGGACGACGTTTAAGACTAAGACAATATCGATGACTAATAGCGGCAATGGCCACGATGACTGGTGCTGTTGCTGAACTGCAACCGTCCCTGAAACCCTGATCGCCTGGCGAAACATCCTTAAGTGATAATCGTGCTGGCGCCAATTCTCAATCGGGAAAACGACCCGTTTTGCCAAGCCGCTTCGGGGAACTGAATGCTTCCGCCATGGCCACTGAAAGCAGCAAAATCCGAAAAATCAGTGTCACATCCAATTCGTGCGTGCTGGGCCCCCTGAGCTTTGGGCCGTGTTTCGAGCGGACAGAAGCTACGCAGAGCAGGTGCAATGCGACCTTCAATGGCTTCAGTCTTGGACCTGGAACACCACGGGTCTACTTTGCCCGCTGACGCATCGGGACGCCTGGCTTTCTTTGGTTTCAGAGCGGCCGAAAATCTCTTACTGTTGCTGGACGTGGACTTACTGGCGGATTCGGTTCAACCCAGCACTGCTCACCGAGCTTCGCCCCAAGACACGGCTCCAACTTGGGAGCTACCGGGCCCTGCTTCCTTTGTCTCGAGTGGCGATTGAGAAGTCTTCGAACTGGCTTCTCCACCGTCGATTCGCATGGACGCCTATGTGCCAGTCAGCATGCGCCTACGTGATGCCAAGGCATATGGCTCTGTGGATTGGGGCGGCTCGCGCCAAAGTCGCTCTCGAAAATGGTATATCGCTTAGGAGAACATGTGCAGACGTGTTAAACTGCCAACCTACCCACTCCCCACTCTGAATCAGCCGAAGCAAGCACCAAACTATTGCCAAGGGAAACGGAAGAGCAAGAAGGCCTCCTCGATCATCTTGGACATAGCGTCTGTAGAGACAGAGGCCTGCCAGGACAAAAGCCGAGGACAAGGAACGCGGATGCTCGACATTGCCGTACAAAGTGGAGAGTATTGCGCAAGATACTAGTAAAGGTTGCAAAGGGAGAAGCACATTGCACACAAGTCCTTGTAGCTCGACAGAATCTTCGAAGCCAGACCTGCAGCTGTGCCGCATGCGAGCTGAAGGATTCGTGTCGAGAGCGAGAGCCTGTCAACGTTGCCACATCGCCAGCCACGTCCTTCTCCCCATCGCCACCTTAGCACGGATCTCAATCGACATGGTCGGAGACCCGACTGCAAAGCTACAGCCTCGCATCTTTTGCAGGGTCGTCCATCATGTTGCGTCAGCTTTGAGGCAGCGCTTTCAGTGGTTCGGCAACTGCTTGCACTTCTCTCGACGCGCCACCTCAGCCGGGCCTCACATGCTGCAACGCATGGCACTTCTTGGCGCTTCTGGCCACAGCAAGGCTTCAAATGCCGGCTGTTGCCGTACCCAAGATGCATGCGGTCTACCTTCCGCACCAGTCTTCAGACTGCCATGCTGACAGATAGCCACGCTGTCACTCTGCCTCATAGATCTGACACAGCCGCCGGCTTGAGGGCAAGGCCACGGTTCAAGACACTAATTCGCAAGAGTCAGAACCTGTATCCCTGCGCCGCCCTAAATTGTCAAATTGTGTTCGGAAGTTTTAGGTTCTGAGCGTCGATCGGGCTTAGACACCACAGTGCCAATTCGATCCTTGCTGCAGCTGGGGTCGGCTTGCTTTGAGCTTTAACCTGGTTTTGCCGACGAGGAAGATGTGGTTGCTGTTCAGTGTTCTGATGACAGGAATAACATGTCAAGCAAGCTGAGTCCCAGCACGTTCCTGGAAAATCTGTCTGCCCGCGTTCCGGGCCAAAGAAGAGTCCAAACTCCGAAGAAGCAGGAGCATGGATGGCACAAACCGCAAATATGGGCATACATGCACAGTTTCCTAACTGAGCTAGTGAACCTTTCCATCCATTATCATCCATTCCTGTCTGAAGATGTGGGCGAGATCTGCGAAAATGTTGCAGCAGCGTGTGTGACACCGTAATGGTAGCACTCTAGAAATCACGCAGCCACTCTCGTCGGCACGTCAAGCCACATGGCCATGCTGATGTGCGTGGATAGTGACAACTCGTGGTATATAGTTGGACTTGATGTAGGATTGCAAGCCATGCGAAGCCATGGGCCGTGGCCCTGGGCAAGTGTCCAAGGTTAAAAACCAACATCTGCAATCCGCAAAACGCAAGCACGCTGGTTTAGCGAGGGCTAGGCCTGACTACAGCTCACTCTGCTCGGGCTGAGGCTGATGTACCGATTAGACGTCCTGCGTTGGGTTACATGCCGGCTAAACACGTCCGGAAAGGCACAGCCTCCAGCTCCGAGCTATGAAACGTTGAGGCATGAAGCCTCGGAATGAAATGACGCAGCTCAGGCTGGCCGGTCGGCGACTTCATAAAGGTGTTGCTTGAGGACTGGATCGAAACCTCGGACTCTTGGACGGCTGCGCCATGCAAGACAGCAAGACGGCAGATGAAGAAACCACGCTTCGGACACTGCAGTTGAGCGACAATCCGCCTCTTAGGCCAGTCGGTGGCCACAGCTGGTGCAAAAGCGTGCTACTGGCCTCAAGCGTTTCACAACCGTGTCACTTCGTTTCTAAAGCGTGCACTCTCCGGAGCATCAGCAACACTGCTGCGAGCTTTCCGCGATGGGACTTGCTACAGGCATCAAGCATGAGCACGGACACTGCGGCAGCTCTTGCAACCACGTCGCTGCTTCAAGCGGCTCCCACACTCTGTACAGAACTGGCGAGTCCGTGCTTGGGCCTGGGTGCCGTCGCGGACACAAGACTAGGCTGCACAACGCATACTTCATCAAAGTTCCGCAGCCAACTTGTCTTGACACGGTTAGCCAACATACCTGTTTTGGTTCTGTTCTGGCATGGTGCCTGGAAAGTCTTCGACAGGGTGCGCTAGCCAATCTTTCAGCTGCTAGCATGTCTCAAGCGGAAGTGCATTGAGCGTGACTCCCGCACTCGTTTCCTGGTCTGGATTCACTATCTGATATTGCCCTGCTGTCGCACGTATTCCTTAACTACCGCCAAGACCTCTTGAGGTCAGGTGGCTGGCTTGGAGCTTGCCGTTGCGAGCGTCTTCTGTGGACTCCACTGGGTTTGCCAGGAGTGACAAAGGTCCTGGCACTTGATCTTTCGAGGCGGAGCATGATAGATGAGGTTGCTGTCGCACACCGCGGTCTCTAAAGCCTGCCTGCATGGCGATTTTTTGCGCGGCGGAGGGCGGCCTTGGGAATGGAACGCACAGGGTGTCGAGTCGCGCAGAATGCACTGAGTTGCCACAAGTTAAGGGTGCTGACAAAGATGTCGCTGGAAGTGTTGGTCCGCTAGGGGCCTGGACCATACAACACAGATTTGCAAGATGCACCGTATTGCACCATGTTGTCACCTGGCCCCGACAGCAGTGAAAAATGAAGCCCAGACAACCCCGTTTTGACAAGCCCAATTTCTAGCCGCATGGAACTGCATGGAAGCGCTTAAGGGCAGAGAGCTACCAGCACAGCGCTGACCGAGGATGCACGAGCAATTAGCATTGCACGAATGCAACACGGACGTGAGGAGAGGCATTCCGCATCGCCTCCAACGTGTTCCAGGTACTCGACAAACCGGGTGGAGCCATCCTTTGCTCAAAGCTCATGTCCAGAACCCAGCCTACGTGGCATCTCTGTTGGACAAGAGCTCAGCGGAACGGCGGCAAATTGATCGGAGGCTCGGATAGCCCCGGCCGTGTTGCCAGACTTGTTGGCAAAACCTCGGTCTTTGCAGAGATCACTCGCCCTTTCCGCGGCCCCACCCGGAAGCTACAACTCGGCGAGGTGGTTGGCTGAGTTGGCTGTGTTTCATTACGCAGCCGCGACGGGACCCGAACTTGGGTTTTCAGTGCGTTCGGACTTCTCTGGAGACTGAATGATTACACCAGTCAGATGTGACAGTACTCGACTGCATTCTGCTGTAGAAACTAAGCCTCGAGCAATTCTTGCAGCGATGGAATTTGATGCTCGAGTTCCTGGCGGGTGGCTCTGCTGCTGCGCATGCCACATCTCCCTAACCTTCCGTTACTCATGTCACCTGATTACCTTTGCAGCTAGTCTGCGCAATCAGCGCCCAACACAGTCACGAGCGTCCTCCGAGCCAAGCATAGGTTGCGCCTGGTGTTGCAAGATGCTACGCTGCAGGTGTCTTGTGGCTCACTGAATTCTGCCTCGGGGAGGCATGAGGCCTCAAGGAAGCTTGCTATCGTAGTGTCGCTTCAGACTGACCATTTTACAGGGAGATAAGTCAAGCGGATCCCGGAACCAAAACCTGAAGCCCCTTTGCCCGGTATGATTGTTGTCCAAATATTCATGAGCAGACCAAGCAAGACAACATCTCACGCACTTGCACTGACAAGGCATGCGACCTTCGAGGGAATCTCGCTCGCAAGCTCAAACTCCACGGAAGCTTCTAGGCCTCCGAGCAGAATTCACAACTTGGTACGGTATGTCGAGGTATTAGGAATTATTAGGAGCACAGCCGCCAGAGTTTTCAGGACAAGTCAGCCCTGGCCTGGAGGAGGTGTCACTGGCATTGTCGGAAACGTGCTAAGAGATCCGATTGCCAGTGCCTGGACAGAACCCTTCCGGCCCATTCAGTAGGTGAGGAGGAACACACAAGAATCCTACCTCCACCATCAGACGAACCTTACCGTCAATTTGGAGCCCTCGCGAAACACTAAGGTGCTGACGCTGGTGGCATCTCCGACACAAGGTGCGGAATGGATCTTTTCATCCAATTCAGTCAGACCTTAGCAGGAGCATTCGTTTGATCCACTTCCTTCAAAGCACCGTGCGTATAATATCGTGACGAAGTTCCAGCTTTGCCTCTTGCAGTTGTCAATTCAGAGGTATCAGTTTTGCTGTGTTTACCTGCTGCCTTTTCAGATCGTGGAATGGTTCAGATGCTTTTTCAGATGCTTTTCCATATGCTTCACTGCGGTGGAATCACGGCTTCCTCTGCAGGCGAAAGAAGTAAGGCACGAACCACTTGCGGAACTGCCCTCACGGCTGAACTCCTGGTTTGTCGAAACATGTCCATGCTGCTCCACCGAGCAATACCTCTATACATCTTACTGCACACACCATTTCCATTCCGTTTGCTCGAAGCAGCCCCTGCAGCCACTGCACGCAACGCTACAGGCCGAAAACAGAAGTTGGACATCAACGCGGAAACAGAGACAAGAAGTGGCGTAGGCTGTAGATGCAGCTGACACAGCCGAAGAAACGGTGCTTGTGTTTCGGGCCAAGCCCACGCACACTGCCTGGGCTCATCGGCACATGCCATATGCACTGCACCCTTATTTTGAGGGGGCGTTGGATGGCGTGGGGGCCTCAAGAGTTCGCCCTCAAAGTGGGCGGACACTCCACACTGCAGGGTCATACAATCAACTGATGTGGTTGCCTGTGTAGCATGTTGCAGTCTCCTGGCACTGCTCGGACCCGATGTCTGATGAGGTCGATCCGGTAGACACCTGAAGATGAACACAACCGTACAAAGACTCCTCCCCCGTTGTCATGGTGCACCCATATGAGTAACTGCTCTTGCCGAATCTCTGGCATCTAGATACCAGTCTCCTGCCAGACTCGCGTCAGGCCTGCACTTTCCACGGCATGTTGTCGCCCATAGAGTCTTTGATGATTTGGCAGGTGCTCTCTGCCGATGCCATCCTGCACAGCTGGCCACTGCGCGGGCTAAGCATGGGATGTGCCGATGGAAGCGTTTCCCTGAGCATTCATTGGCAAGGTTCCACCGGGAGACCAAAAACACCTGCATCTTTGCATCGCTGAAGACTACATACCAAAGACTGATTCCTTTCTTTCTCTTCCTGGCTCCTGCGCCGTATCTCTTTCAGACATGTACATGTAAATACATGCAAAACTAGATGCGCACCTGCAAGCATCCACACAGCCCCCCACATACATACAGACACGATCATACAGACAGATAAACGTCCCAGCAGGTGAAATGTTCCAACCATGCGTTCGGAGCTACACGCACAGATGTTCCTGTGTGTGTCTGTATCCAATGTGTCTCTAAGTGTATATGCGCATAAACAAACATACACAGAAAAAGGCACATCTACGCAGTCAGTCAGGCGGGTGAACGTGGCTAACCGTTTTCGGAGCCGTCTTGCCTACTAGGCTTTGTCGGCTAGACATGCAGCAGTGCTGATGCGGCGCAAAGAGACTGACCACCGCACTGCATGTGTTTTGCAATTTCGCAGAGCCACTTGATTTCGTGGGGTGGGGCTTGCATCGAGATGGTTAGAACGGCCATAGCCCGGTCGATCAGCAAGCAAGCAAGTATGTATGCACACACAGGGACACAGGAACCGGCACATATTCATTTCTGTACTCGTACATAATTCTATGTAACACGTTATGTACCCATATGCTTCCAACGTCAAAAGGGTGTGTGCTCTCCTCGGCCTGTTGCTGCCCATCCTCCTCATCGCACTTGCCATGGTACACAAAACACATCGAACTGCAAAAAATCTGGCCCGAAGAAACATGACAGAGCAATGCGCGCCCTGTGGCTCTGCTCTGTCTACAGTAGGACAAGTGCCACTGCCCAAAAGACTAGAGTTGCTCCATACCCGAACCAAGAATTGCCTGAATCCTCCGTGGAAAGAACCACCTCAGAGCAAGATGCTACGACTAAATATGATCTCTTCATTCACACAAAACGAACACAACTAGAAAAATAGAACTCGCAAGCTTTGTGCGCAGTCCGTCGATTCAATCCACATCACAACAGCAAAACGTTGCGATCAAGCATTGCCTACGATCTCTCGAAATACAGTAAACGAGCCATATGAGAACAAGACTCTGCTCGTAAGCTCTTGCCCAGTGTACTCCCCTTCTTCATGTTCCCCGTGATTCAAACGAACTCAACTCTCAATCATGATAGTTTCATTGGTTCCGCCTGCTCGGCTGCAGAACTATGAACTACACTGGATCCGGCATCTGATAACCTTGGGTTTGCCATGTGCATGTTGGAACTGATAGGACTTAGGTGTCCTTTTTTGCTGTCTGTTTCACGATGGCCCCAAGCGCACCATACGCAAAAGGGATTTAAGGTTTGCTTCGTCACGAAAAAATCCGCTTAGGACCTTTACGCGCCGTTGGAGTGGTTCTAGCGTATGCTGTTTTGCTGGACATATCTAACTGAAGGACTGACCTAAATTGAAATCGTGCTGAACAGCCAACTAAGGGCACAAAGGGCCATATCATTCGCCAAATACCCATAAGCGATGGGCTAGACATTGGGTCAGATATCACGGGCATACTCCTTAATTTGAACGAATGATAGCTAAACACCGTTTAAAAACAAAACATATTGCTCTGGTATTTACTTGGACTCAAACATACATGAGCACCCTTTAAACATCAGGTAGACCTGAAGCCTGTAGCAGTGACGTGCAGGTCAAGTTTTGCGTGGATATGACATGTTAGACGAACATTATTTGGAGACGAACTTCGAGTTCCTCCCTTTTGATCCACATGGACATTTAGGCATCCTAACAACTCAGCACTGAACATCCATTAAGTATCACGCAGAAAATTTGGAGAAGCTTTAGCTGCTATATATGAAAATTCGAAAGACTATGTAAATGACAATGTAAATATTGGCGAAAGGCTATGCAACAATTGGCGAAAGGCTATGTAAACACTGCAGGCTAAACAAATGCTCTTCCCATACTGGGTTTTCAGTTCATGACAGAGCATTTTAAGAAGCGAGCATCACTCAAACACAAAGCCAATGTTACAAGAAGCGCAATTTCAAAGAAGTATAAGTTGCGTACCCAACACATATCTGTTAAATAGTTGTTAACGAGTCTAAACGGAGTTATTTGTGAGATGGCTACATGTCTGCTATATGGCTATATGTGACTGAGTATTGACTAAATGTTTATTTTTTGCTAGGTGCTCAATTTCCAGATGTCAATGGACAGGTTGGTCTGCTCGGGGGTTTACCATGTAGGTGTGCTTTTATAGACATTGGCAACATCCGTAAGAATACTGCAAACGAAAAAAGCAATTGCACACATACCATGGTTGACATGCACCCTTCATGCACATATGCAGACGGGAACATATGGATTGCTTCCGCACATACAGTCACGTATGAACTGCATGGATTTTATTGTACATATGCATATGCAGACTGTCAGCCGCCTCCAGAAAACAGCACGGCTCGCAAGAATGCTGATAGAATTCTCGAGCCAAGAGCTGATCGGACTTATCTTGAACAATAGCCCAAGCTGAGCTGCATTGCTGCATGCCGTCGGCTAACCTACTGTCGCTCATGCACAGGCTGTTGCGGGCAGGCTCCAGGATCAGCTGCGCAAACCTCTGAGAGGGGGACACATCGCTCCAGGCCAGTGCTGCCGATCCTTGAGAATGGTGCCCCGCTGCCAAACTCCACTTGACAGTAAAATCAGCACCACACCTCCCTGAACTTGTCTGCGGCTCGCAGGGCAATGTACCTTCACAGCTCAAGGGCCATGACAAAGCCAACAAGCCAAGAAAGCGCAGCAGCCCACCACGCAACCAAAGAGTCTTCATCCTGGCCAGACTAGAGCAGATGCATGGCTTCATGAGTACTTGCCAGTATTTGCCAGTCCTGCAGCTCATCTTCCAAGTCAATGCCACCTTCTTCCACGGTCGGTGGTCCTGGAAGAAAACAGAAACAGATGACGATGATGTCATTCAACAGGAACTGCTGGATGTCAACAAGAAAAGGCTGAGAGCTTAGCGAAACTCGTCTTCCAAGGTTCTGAATCGGAACACCTGCCAAACGAGCCCAAATGAAATACAGCACTTGCTGTAGTTGATGGTGGCTCGTGTGTGAATGCTCCCTGTAGCAGAGGAACTAAGGACTTGCCATCCCATGCCTGCCTCACAGTTCAAGGCATTCTGACAGAAGCGCTTGACAAACTCAGCATCGGTTGACCTTCAACAGTTGCCGCGCACAGTAGCATTCTCACATGCTCTCTGCTGCATACCTACACTTCTTTGGGACAGTGGTCCCAGGCCCATCCACACCCAGTTCCTTTTGGATTGTGGCGACCTCAACATACAGCCACTTTCTGTCCGTTCTCGGATCGGGAATGCGAAATCCAGCCAGTGGTGCATGCGCCGTGATGGCAGCAACGTCTCCATCGGCGCGGCTGGAATAGATCTCCTGCACAAGTCGATCAGAAGGCCTGTCTCATCTGCAAACGGTTCGGCAGGAGGTGTTGCTCGATACATGACATGCGGTGACATGCGGACTCATGGGCACTCTCGTTTTCTGATCTGGTCTCAACTCCACGCGGCGGCGGCCAGAATCGAAGGCATCAAACATCACGTAAGGCCTTTGCTCCACAGAACTGCCAACCGGGACACAGCTGTGCCTTTCCGGAAGACAGGACAGTTGCCTAATACTGAGTACTCGCCTTGTCTGACTCTAACTCTAAGGAGCAGACAGTTGTGGCAACTCCTGCGTACCGTCTTTCGAGACTGCTGCCAGCGCCTCCCAAAGCCATGGCCGCCATGCTCCGCGATTGCACACATGCATCCGGCTCAGAAGTATGCTTTCTCACAGCCGCCTCGATATTGGCAACCAGGACTTCTCTTGGCAGGTTCCCAATGAGGGCAGTGACGACACGCCTCCGCTTCAAGCATGTTTGAACTACCACAAGGCCAGCCTCATCCAGCCAAGTCACATGCATGGTTTTTAACCAACAAAACCGTGCACCTGTCTGGTAGAACAAAAGCTATGTGAGGGATTCCGTCGACACGGAACTCACGCGTCCACCTGCTCAGGCTGCCCACCAGGCGCGTCTGCTGGAATCTTCTGTGACAAACCCTCAAGGACAATCGGAAGGAAGCGTCTTGCCCATGCTGACCCTGCTTGACATGTTTGTTGACGCAGACGCTGTCACCACGCAAATTCGGGATCCTGGTATTTCGCCGAGATGCCAATCCATGTCTTCGTCTCCAGAATTCCGGGTCCAGTTCGAAACATCCATGGTTACAAACTCGACATCATCTCCGTACCTTGAACCAGAGCTGAACGATGGAGTCAGCGCACACGGTGGAGATGCATCAGAGACTGAGAACTCTTCGGCTTGAGTCAAGGCATTATGGGGCAACAGCGGCCAAACTTGCAGCTGGCCGGCAGCTTCTGCATCTCCTTATTCACACTCTCAACGCTCTTCAAGAAGCGAGGGCGTCTTAGCCTCATGCGGCAAAGGCGCCTCAAGTATTGGAGCCATGACAATGCAATCAGCGCACCACGTGGCCGAGAAGTCCACCAGTAAAGGCCTTTCACATGCATCGGCCCCAAGACGCCAAGACTGGGATGTTGTACAAGTACCACGGCTGCCCTTTCGCGAAGATAGACAAGGCCCTATACCCCAGTCCGTAGAAAGGAACCCGTGGAGATGAGAAGGTACTATAATCGACGAGCCTATGCCGGAAGGGGGGGTGGACGAAAGCTCACAAACCGGGGCAAGCTGCGCG